ATTGTTCACATGTTATAATAATGTGTTTATTGTTCACATGTTATAATGTGCTTATTGTTCACATGTTATAATAATGTGTTTATTGTTCACATGTTATAATGTGCTTATTGTTCACATGTTATAATAATGTGTTTATTGTTCACGTTATAATAATGTGCTTATTGTTCACGTTATAATAATGTGTTTATTGTTCACGTTATAATAATGTGTTTATTGTTCACATGTTATAATAATGTGTTTATTGTTCACATGTTATAATAATGTGTTTATTGTTCACATGTTATAATAATGTGTTTATTGTTCACATGTTATAATAATGTGTTTATTGTTCACATGTTATAATAATGTGTTTGTTTGTTCACATTTTATAATAATGTGTTTTATTGTTCACATGTTATAATAATGTGTTTATTGTTTGTTCACGTTATAATAATGTGTTTATTGTTTGTTCACATGTTATAATAATGTGTTTATTGTTTGTTCACGTTATAATAATGTGCTTATTGTTCACATGTNGTGAAAATACTAGGTTTACACATGTCACAATACTGTTTACACATGTCACAATACTGGGTTTACACATGTCACAATACTGTTTACACATGTGAAATACTGGGTTTACACATGTCATAACACTTTTTACACATGTGAACTACTGGGTTTACACATGTCATAATACTGTTTACACATGTGAAATACTGGGTTTACACGTCATAATCCTGTTTACACATGTGAAATACTGGGTTTACACATGTCATAACACTCTTTAAACATGTGAAAATACTGGGTTACACATGTCATAATCCTGTTTAAACATGTGAAATACTGGGTTTACACATGTCATAATCCTGTTTAAACATGTGAAATACTGGGTTTACACATGTCATAGCACTTTTTACACATGTKAAAATACTGGGTTTACACAAGTGAATTTCACAGGTTTACACGTCATAATAATGTTTACTCATGTGAATATCCCAGGTTTACACATGTGAAAATACTGGCTTTACATATGTGAATATCACATGTTTACAAATGTGAAAATACTTGGTTTACATGTGAACATTACAGGTTTACACATGTGGATATCAGGTTTACACATGTACATTACATGTTTACACATGCCAAAATACTGGGTTTACACATGTGAACATTACAGGTTTACACATGCTAAAATACTGTGTTTGCACATGTGAATATTACAGTTTCACATGCTACAATACTTGGTCCACACGTGAAAATTACAGGTTTACACATGTGGATATCACAGGTTTACACATGTGAACATTACAGGTTTAGACATTCTAAAATACTGAGTTTACACATGTGAATATCGCTAGTTTACATGTTGAAATACTGGATTTAGACATGCGAATAGTTAACWTTAGATCAGACATCTTGTAAAACATGTTTTGTTTTTCACGAGTTTATTACGTGTTCACATGATAATAATGTATTTAACGTTTGTTCACATGTTATAATAATGTAATGTTTGTTCACATGTTATAATAATGTGTTTATTGTTTGTTCACGTTATAATAATGTGTTTATTGTTTGTTCACATGTTATAATAATGTGTTTATTGTTTGTTCACATGTTATAATAATGTGTTTATTGTTTGTTCACATGTTATAATTTGTTTATTGTTCACGTTATAATAATGTGTTTAATGTTTGTTCACATTTTATAATAATGTGTTTGTTTGTTCACATGTTATAATAATGTGTTTATTGTTCATGTTATAATAATGTGTTTAATGTTTGTTCACATTTTATAATAATGTGTTTGTTTGTTCACATAATAATGTGTTTATCGTTTGTTCACGTTATAATAATGTGTTTATTGTTCACATGTTATAATAATGTGTTTATTGTTTGTTCACGTTATAATAATGTGTTTATTGTTCACATGTTATAATAATGTGTTTATTGTTCACATGTTATAATGTGTTTGTCTCCTCAGACCAACGCTCTGTACCGCGCTGCGTTTGAATCGTGGGCTGAAGGTTTTACAAACGTCAGGATCCTCAGTGACCAAACAAGAAGCAACGATGTAAACATGTTTATAAACACTAAAACAAACTGCTTAATGAGGTTTTAATCATTTCGGTCTAATTAATAAATAAAATAAATATTACTCCCTGGTGACTGATTTGGGTTAAATTAAAAATGTAAATGTAATAAATTTCAGGAGCGTCTGGGAGCTGTGGGCTGCCTGCAGCTGGCAGTCAAACACTTCAACATCCAGGAGCACGTCGTCGTGATCGGAGGGTGAGTTTCTGACGTTAACAGTTTACAGTTTGAGTCAAAGTTTTTTTGCTGACTCATCTTTTATCAGAGACACGCTGTTCAGAGAGGATTTCAGCCTCGGCAAAGTCCAGCAGAAGTTCTGTGACGTCCAGGCGAAGTGCGAAGACGCCTCTTTGGTTCTGTCGTATCGCTGCAGAGAMGAAGGTTCAGGATTTAATCCTCGGTTTGTTCTTTCAGTCACGGTTGGTTCGTTAATTCACCTGGACTCTCTGCAGAAACACAGAAATATGGAATACTGGAGGTGGACCAGGATCTGCGAGTCGTCTGCATGAAGGAGAAACCTGGTCCTTCAGGGACCGAGTCCAGGAGAGCCGTAAGTTCATCCAACCGGAGCCTGGATCGGGTTTACACTGAACGCTGAGTCATGGTTTCACAATGTGAAGGCAGTCAYGTTTCAACTGAACGTCGAGTCGTGTTTCAGCAGGTTACGTGCAGATTCTTGGTTCAATAGCATGAACGCAGTGTCATTAATGCCGAGTCATGGTTCAATAACATGAATGCAGTCATTAATGCCGAGTCATGGTTCAATAACAAATGCAGTCATTAATGATGAGTCATGGTTCAATAACAAATGCAGTCATTAATGCTGAGTCATGGTTCAATAACATGAATGCAGTCATTAATGCTGAGTCATGGTTCAATAACGAATGCAGTCATTAATGCTGAGTCATGGTTCAATAACATGAATGCAGTCATTAATGCTGAGTCATGGTTCAATAACGAATGCAGTCATTAATGCTGAGTCATGGTTCATGCTTCTGTTTTCTGGTTCAGGTTCTTTTGGACAGTTTTCGACTCATTATTCGTGCAGATTTTGAGCTAATTTAACCGTTCAAATATCAAAACTTTCAGCTGAATATTTGGCTGCTGTGACCTTTGGTTAAAATGTTTAGCTTAGACACACAGATAACTTCAGCTTCTTTAAAAACTTTTTCTTTGAAATCTGATTCAGCTCATGGATCTGTTTGGACTTCTACGCTACATTTAGCTACTATTTTTAGTCATTGTTCTGTTTGTTTTGGCTACCATTCAACCTTCAGCTACTGTTGATAATTTAACTATTTCCTGTTTAGCAGGTTCTAGCTTTTAGCTGCCATTCAGTTACTCGTTTGCAACTTTTCAATAAAAGCTACCACGCTGTATTTTTTAGACTTAAGCGTGTTTTTCTTTTAGCTAGTTTTAGAATGTTTTAATTTCAGAAACTGTTTTCTAAACTTTAGCATATTTTATTTTTAGCTGGTGCTCTGTTCCTTCAAGCTCTTAGCTAGCCTTTAGCTGCCGGTTTTCTCTATCTTTTAGCTACTTGCTCTATTTTTAGCTACTGTTCTGCTTCTTCTRAATTCTTTGGTTAAACGTGAACTCAGTTTTAGCTTCAGTGAAATCCTTCAGCTGTTTTCACTGGAATGATTTGTGTTTTTAAATGTTTTAATATTAAAACAGAACCAGAGTTTTACTTCCTGTTTGATTATTTTTGTTGAAACTTGTTTAGCTGTTTTTAATAATTACATCAGTCGCTAATAAATACTTTTAAAATCTTTTATTTAAAACATGGAGAAACAACAGTTTGCTTCATTGTTTATAAATCATTGTTTTTGCTTCAGTGTCCGTGTTTTTACGTGTTGTCGAAGGAAACTCTTCCTCTGTTGGACTCCTTCCTTCAGCTAAAGGAGGTGAACAAATCAAAACAACAAAACAAAACAAAGACGTGAAGAAAACTCAGATTTCAGCTGAACTTCTCGTCTTCACAGGAAGCTCCGATCGAAGAGCGAGACGCTCCTGGAAACTTTGTGTCCTGGCTCGTTCACAGGTGAGGTCTGCAGGTCCTGGACCAGGTTTTGGATCATCCCTCTCCATCTTTGTTGTTTTATTTCCTGACAGGAAACMGGTTTACGTCCATCAGATATCGGGGCGTTTCGACGTCGGGAACCTGCCTTCGTACGTCGAGTGCGACCGCTACTTCAGAGAGAAACTCCAGGAAGTGAAGTCCTACATGGTCTAGAGTAAAACCGGGTCACTTCAGTCTGGAGCATCGGTCCGAGGCCCTCTCCCGCCTGTTCTCCATCTTGGCGATGCAGGAGCCGAACTGCATGGCCCTCTTGGGCAGGAGGGCGGACTGCCCGAGGCCCAGCTGCCTGGCCGCCTGGCGGAGGAGGAGCTTCTCTCCGACGCCGCGGGGCAGCGACAGGTCGGCCTTCTTCCACACGGGGAGGGAGTTCAGGAAGCTCACCACGTTTTCATCCAAGTAGGGAAACCTGCAGGAAGAGAGGAGAGGAACTCACGCTGGTGCATCCGTTTGGTTTCTATACAACAGAATGAAACTGCAGATAAATGTGTGGAGCTTAATTAAGATTAATAAAAATTTATTTTAATCACATTTATGATCTTTTGTCATTATTTTTGGACTGGATTTAAATGGCTGCCATAAACGACTCKAACAGACACAAAATATCTCCAACAGATAKRTAATATTACAGATRTTGATCTGAAATCTGGTGTGGTCGTAGCTGAGAGTCATCCCAAACACATATTCTGAACATTTCTTGTAATTTGAGAGGTTTGACTAAAACTAGTACTTTGTGTCTTTAAACTACAGCCAAGAAGGTAAAACTTTCATCCCCTCAGTTTAGCTCAGAGATCAGTCAGTAAAATAGATCTGGACAAAAATCTTCAAGATTAAATCATGGTGGTGCAGAGCTAACGCAGAGCTAATGATACCATGGAGCTAATGCTAACGGAAAGCTAACGCAGAGCTAATGATACCATGGAGCTAATGCTAACGGAA